AAGAGTAGAGGAGGCATGAAATGGAGTCATGAAAGATGAACAAAAGCAGTTATGGTATTCAATAAACACTGTTAAAAAAATGAACTATGGCCAGGTACTGGTGTCTCACTTCTGTAATCCTATGGACTCAAGAGGCTGAGATCTGAGGATCATCAAGTGGTAGAGTGCTAGCCTTGAGGAAAAGAAGCTCAGGAACAGCACCTAAGCCCTGAGTTTAAGCCCCAGGACCAGCACAAAAATAAAATATAAAATAAAAGGTACAACTTGTAAGCAGAGACAGGATGGGGAAGTTAGGGGAAAGTGAAGGAAGGGGTGACATTGTACAAGAATTGTACTCATTACCTGACTTATGGAATTATAACCCCTGTGTATAATACCTTAAAATCACAATAAAGTTCTATTAAAAACAAAAATCAGAGGTTAGAGTCCTTGGTGTCGTATGTTTAAGAATTCTGATTTAGGGGAAAAAGGAAATCTGATTGATAGAGTGGGATTATATATTTAGATTCTATTTCTTGTTAAACTTTTTGCTAGGCTTTGAAATTGCAAAGGTATTTCTTGCCTTTTTTTTTTTTCTGGTGGTAATTAGGTTTGATCTAGGGCCTTGAGCTTGCTAGGCAGATACCCTATAACCCAAGCTTTTTTTGTTTTTGTTTTTATTTTTGTCGGTTGTGGGGCTTGAACTCCAGGCTTAGGCAGTGTCCCTCAGCTCTTTAGCTCAAGCCTAGCACTCTACCACTTTGAGCCACAGTACCACTTCCGGGTTTTTCTACCTTGTATGGTGCTGAGGAATTGAACCCATGCATGCAAGGCAAGCACTCTACCACTGAGCCACCTTCCTAGCCCAGCTTTTGTGTTCTTAAGTACATCTTTTCAGGAATATGAACATGTCAAGGAATAAGAAAATAAAGATAAACTATTGAAATTTATTTACTCTTCTAAAATTATACTGAGAGGGCTGGGGATGTGGTTTAGTGTAAAGTGCTTGCCTAGCATGCATGAAGCTCTGGGTTCCATTCCTCAATAACTTATACACAGAAAAAGCCAGAAGTGGTACTGTGGCTCAAGTGATAAGAGTGCTAGCTTTAAGCAAAAGCAGCTCAGGGACAGTGTCCAAGCCCTGAGTCCAAGCCCCAGTACTGGCAAACACACACATACACACACACACACACACACACACACACCACACACACACACACACACACACTACATTGAGAGTTACATCCATTGCATACTTTCATTACATCATCTAATTTACTTACGATTCAGTGGCAGTCTATGATACCACATTCAGTATATGGATCATTATTTTGTATTAGTTGGATGATCTTGATAAAGGTTGATGTTTGTATTATTTCAGGCGCTGGATGGTCTTTTAGAGGCCACCTTAGAGGGTTAATGATTTAGCATACATAGTGCTTCACATGAATTACAGTTCTATGTTCATTTTAGCAAAACCATCCTGCTCTGTTATGTTTTATAAATTTTCAAGAATGTCCTCCTTCAAGGCCTTTGTAGTTCTGTCAGGAGCATTCTTCTCTTAGATATTCATGTGGCTTCCTCTTAAAATAATTTTTATTCTCTCCTTTTTTTTTTTTTTTTCTTAGTCCTAGGGCATCAACTCAGGGCCTGGGTGCTGTCCTTAAGCTTTTGTGCTTAAGGCTAGTGCTCTCACTTTTTTGGTAGTTAATTGTATAAGAGTCTCACAGGCTGAGCACCGGTGGCTCATACCTTTAATCCTAGCTACTCAGGAGGCTGAGATCTGAGGATCACAGTTGAAAGCCAGCCTGGGCAGGAAAGTCCATGAGACACTTATCTCCAGTAAACCACAGAAAACTGGAAACCGTGCTGTGGATCAAGTGATAGAGTGCCAGCTTTGAGCTGAAGAGCTGAGGGACAGTACCCAGGCCCAGAGTTTAAGCCCCTTGACCCTCACCAAAAAAAAAAAAAGTTTCACAGACTTTCTTGCCCAGGCTTGCTTCAGACTTCTATCCTCAAATCTCAGCCTCCTGAGTAGCTAGGATTACAGGCGTGAGCCACCGGTACCCAACTTGTAATGTGTTTTTCAAAGAGAAAAACCTAATCACAGGAGTGAAATCTCCATTTTGTTTTTCTTCTGAACTTGTTCCTTTAGGAACGTGCTGTCTTCTAAATATGATAATAACATTATTGACACTGGGAGGGCATTGTTGCTGGTTCTTTCTCTTCCTAATGGTGGTCATCAGGGCTGGGAAGGTGGCTCAGTGGTAGACAGCTTGCCTTGCATGCTCAAGGCCCTGGGTTCGATTCCTCAGCACCACATAAGCAAAAAGAAAAAAGCTGGAAGTGGTGCTGTGGCTCAAGT